TCGTGTTTTGATCCTTTCCGGCAAGCAGGAGGAAGGGCGTCAGTTGGGATGAAGGTGGTGCATTATAGAGTCGCACGGACATCCAGGTGCATAGTTACCGGTTTTTTGCATGAAGTCCGGTCGTTTTTTCGGTAAATGCTCACTTTGTGAAAAAATGACAAATGCAAATTTCTTAAAAAAATGCAAATTTCCAGTTCACTAAAAAGTGGAAATATTGCTCGAGCGATCGTTTGTCGAAAAAGCCATGTGTGCAAATTTGCTAGTGTTCATTTACATATACGATTGCAGTTCGGGTCCGAGTTGCTAACGATTTTTGGGTTGAGGAGCTGCTTGAGACTGTGTTTGGGGTACTCGACAGCCGAGTTTAAAATTTTTAGCTCGCACGTGAATAAAAATATCCCTGCAAAATTTGAGCTTTTTAGCTTGCCTGGTTCGCGAAGTCGTTTCCCGCCAAAATATTTTTTTTTTGGGGGGAGGACATCTTGAAACGGCAGAATGACAGACGGGGTAGAAACATATAGCAAGTAGTCTATTTTGGAACATATAGCAAGTAGTCCATTATAGAAAGTAATCTATTTTGTAAATTTTGACATAGATAAATATGGGACAATTTTTTGAACTTCTGGAAGATGAAAGAATTTTAACAATTTTTTCATTAACTCTTGATGCAAGACATACTGTGATAATAGCAATTATGAAGTGGTGAGAAAACTATTAAAAATGACTGATTATTAGTTAAAAATCGAAAATTCATAAACAACCAAATGAGAGGGAACTCGCTTGTTCTCGAGAACCCTCTTTCATTACTTTAGGAACACTCTACTTCACTGTATCAGATGATTTGGCAACATCAGAGATTCTTGGTAATCGCATGACTGTCCACGTGCTGCTGCAAATTTTTTATAAAAAGAGTTTGACAAAAAATACCGGGAAAAGTTTCAAGTGCAACATACGCGGAAGTGTTTTTTTTGCTGCTTAAATCCTTCGCAGTTCTGACTATCAGTGGTCCATCGGAATCCTTTCCAACCGCAACTTGGGTTCGATCGATTACTCGCCGATTATCGACCACGATCAAAACGAAGTGAATGAGAAGATATCCGACAAAGAGCGCCGCACCTCGTCCTGCCCATTTCGAAAGCATTGAGCGTCACCGCGACATCGTCGAACTGGAACTAGTTTCTCCATGATTACTGCATATGCCAATGTCGCTAGTGTCACAACGCCACACAGACAACTAGAAACTCGATATTTTTGCGCTTTTTTTACAGAAACAGATTAACGAACGTCTTTAGATGAATTTTCAGTTTGAACAATTTTCGCCCTGCGGAAGAAAGTTATCCGTTCGCAAAAGTAGGAGCTTTCATATGCAGTTAAAACAAGGTCGCAGCATTAAAGTTCTCTTGTCATCTTCCTTTACGTCAGCTAATAATCTCGGTTAGCGGTTCAAACTCTTTTGTAGTATAATATTAAAGCGAAGAACAAACTAAGATTCAGAGAATTAATTTAAAGCTCGGTGAAAGAAATCACGAGTCAAACTCCCATCATATTTCGCTTTCACTGAGCAACGGAGGCAATTGAGAAGCAGCCCGAGCGGTAGCGAGTGCCAGCAGCAATCACTCGCTGGCAAGACTGTCGATGGCCGTCCTTTCTGAGGGTTGTTTATAAGCAAGCTGATGACGATACTGACTCCCCGACATATTTACCGACGAAACGAATCGTAAAAAGAACTAGTTTTCCCACCGGAGAGTCATACCTCCACCTACTCACGAAAAAAAGAAGCTTTATTGAATCAGGCGTGATGAAATCACCAACAGCCAATTCGATTCAAAAATCGAACACTGCAACATCTTGGCTGAAGTGAAGGTGAGCAGGCAGTAAGTCAAAAAGATAAGCTCACTTTTTTTAAGCTCAAAAATAAATAGAGTAAAACAGTCTAGACTGTGCTACGCGCAAAGAGCCGCAGCGCTCCTTGCTCGCATTTTCAGGTCTTTCATGAGATGAGCAGCGTGCATTCTATTACTTCACTATTCCATATATTTGTAGGCAGAAAAAAATCAGACTAGCACTTTTCCATTTTTATCAAAAACTACTTTGCAACTGTTTTTTTCATCGGTGAGGTTTTCGTTATTGATGCAACTGGAACATTTCCATTTTCAAAGAGCCCTGTCTCATTTATGTGAATACGCTATCAAATGGATTATTTCCGCTGCACTGGTGGCTGTTCTTGTGTTATTTTAACATTCCGCCAATATGACTCAGTACCTGGCTTTGTCCATCTTTTATCCCTTATACTTATCACCTGACTAGTTTGGCC